TCTTATCAGTTACATTTTATTAACTCTGTATCCCAGCCGTGTCCCGATCCCTCATTCCCTCCCAGTCCCTCCCTCCCTCCCTCATCTCCACCGTGCTCCTTGCCAAGTCCACTAATAGGGGGGACCTCCTCCCCATTCATCTGATCCTGTTTTATCAGGTATCTTCAGGACTGGCTGCAAAGCTCTCCTCTGTGGCCTAACAGGACTGCTCATCCTGAGTGAAATATCCCAGAAGGAGAAAGACAAACGCGGTATATACTCACTTATATAGACCTCTAAGATGTGATAAACATAATGAAATCTACACACCTAAAGAAGATAATCAAGAAAGCGGACACGGGGTAAGATAATCAATCCTCATTTAGAAAGACAGATGGGATGTGCATTGAACGTATGACAGGCGTCTACTGAGCGCATTTGAAAGACTCTACCTAGCAGTGTTTTCAAAGTATCTATGTTTTTTTAAGCACACTCATACACATCAGCCCCAATGCTAGGATTTATGCTCTCTTCGAACTCTCAACAAAAACCTGTATGAACAAATGATAGAAAGGATAGATGCTTCTGGCAATAAAACCCAAAGTTATGGGTCATACATGGTTTATTGATGTTGACTGTAATTTTATCAAAACATACTCTCATGAAATCAGCATGAGACAGATGAAGTTACTCTTCCACCCCTACCCCCAAAATAGCTTTTTGGAAATTCAATACTCCATATGTTAGCCAGTTTTATTTATTAATTATGCATTTAAAAACTATTTAACAGGGGCTAGAGAGATGGCTCAAGGTTAAGGACACTTATTGCTGTTAGAGAACCAGGGTTCAGCTCCCATTATTCAAATGACAGCTCACAACCATCCATAATTCCAGTTCCAAGGGATCTAATACCTTCTTCTGACCCCCGCTGGGCATTAGGGACACGATGACTATACAGATTTTCAGGAAAAATACACACATAAAAGAAAATACACCTAAAAATTGATTTAAAAGAATTCTTTATCAGGTGTGCTGGCATACTCTTTAATCCCAGCACTTGGGAGGAAGAGGTAGGTGAATCTCTGTGAGTTGAAGTACAGCCTGGCTACAAAGCAAGTTCCAGGACAGCCAGGGCTATTACACAGAGAAACCCTGTCTTGAAAAACCTAAATAAATAAATATTCTTTATCAAGTCTGGAAACATATTTAAGTGGTGGGTGCTTGCCTTGAATATATGAGGCATGTATAAAAAATAACTCCCCCACACTGGCAGTATGGGGATGAGAACAGAACTCCACTTCCAGATTAGAGGTTTAATACACAGAGAAAAGAATGACCTAGATATTCTTAGTGTCTAATCATATCACCAATATCCTTATGTGACATAAAGCACACTCATCAGGGAAGAATGAAGAAAGAGGCAGAGTGCAAAACTAAGTACATACTATGACTACAACTCCATAAAACAAGTAAACTTTAGTGTCAGTTCCAACATGGCCCCCCAAAATGGTTGTGCTGGTGACAATGTCCTAAACAGAACTTTGGTAAACAGGGCTAAATGTGGGTTTCTGTTTAACTAGGAGCCTCCCTCAAACCACCCTCTTAATCTGCCCCCAAAGGTCAGCTACCTTGAGCCTTTAAAGGCCTGTCCAGTCCTGGTCAATCAGTCCAAAGACCCCCTCTCTGCTGACTGTCATAAAATCCTCTTGCTTTTCCACCATTTTGTTCTTCTCTCTTCCCCTATCCTCATAGATAGCCTTGGTAGTTTGATCCCCACCTTTCTTTCTTCCCATGGGTGGTCCAGTTCAGTAGATTCACTGTGCCCTCTTAGCAGAAAAAAAAAAAAAAGTCAGCACCAAATTGTACATGACTGCAAACAGAGGGATTGCAGGGCAGAAAGCACAGAGCATGTATTTCCATTTCCCAAACCATCAATACTGTTTCCTACAGTTATGCTGATCATACTTAATATAGCTTTATCGCCTGCATACATACGGTAAATCATTATAGATCACTAATTACTATCTGCTTTCATATCTAAAATGATACTTTGAATCATAGAGGCAGAAAGCATGAGTCACAGTTCAGTCATTCTGACAGGATGAACTTTAAGTGACTTGACTGCTCCAAGCCTCCATTTCCCACCTAAGCTGGCCACCTTGGCAGGACTGTACAGAGCCAGCCTCACAGGCGTGCTCATGCATACTCATGCCCTTCACAACATTTCTCACTGTTGACTGAATTCCTCTGCAGGAAATGGCCCTCTCTGGTTAAGTAATGAAGTGAAGCGGCAATCAAGCTACATTTAGAAAAGCATCCTCTATCATAAGCTTTAAAGAAGCTTCAGGCAAGATATTTTATTTATTTATTCGTTTATTTTAGTTTGGGTTTGTTTTCTTTGAGGCAGGATCCTGCTCTACTTAGCCCTGGCTGGCCTGGAACTTTCTATATAGACCAGGATGGCCTAAAACTCACAGAGTACCACCGACCTGGACTCCCAGTGCTGACATTAAAAGTGTTCCCAACCACACTCAGCCTCAGGCAAGATATTTTAAACAGCCCCAGGCCTCCTTTTCACTTGGCCAGAAAAAGGCCTCACAGTGCTGAATGCTAAAGCCCAGCTAGCAAAAGGAAGCACCATAAATGAAAACCTGTCTGTCATCAGCAAGCTGTCAATCATATGGGGCTTCCTGGACAGCTTCATCAAGCACATGGAGCACCATGCCTAAGAGTCAGGGCAGGAAAGAACTCTTGCCACAGGTTTCCTATGGAACTAGGTCTATGAATTCCAGTGCAGCCAATAACATTTTAATAATGCTGGTTTTTTAAGATGTTTACAACTTTAAAAAGATTTCACCTATAATCCTGCACTTGAAAGACAGAAGCACAAGGATTGTGAGATCAAATAGAGCCAGAGCTATATAGTGAAATCCTATCTTAAAATAAAGGGGGGGGGGGGCTGGAAAGATGGCTTATATATTAAGAGCAGATACAACTTTTCCAGTGGATCTCAGTCCAGTACCCATCATGAACATGGTGGCTTACCATCATCTCTAATTCTAGTTCCAGGGAATCCAATGCCCTTTTCTGGCCATCACAGGCACCAGGCATAAATATGGTACACAGACACACATGAAGACAAAACACTCACAAAGTAAAAATAAATCAATCTCTCTATTCTGTTTTTAAGCCCAGGGCTAAACATGATTTTTCAATACAGCTATGGGGCTCCTCAAGGACTCAAGGGCAAGAGGCACTCAAGTTCATTAAGAAGAGCAAGTGGACACACATCAATGCCAGGACAAATCAGGAATAGAGCAACATACTAGAGGCCAAGGAATGAGCCCACTCTGCTCTTCTCTCCCTCAATAAATCTTTCTCTCTCTCTCTCTCTCTCTCTCACACACACACACACACACACACACACACACACACAAACACTCACACACAGAGAGAGAAAGAGCGCACAAAAGTACTTGAATAGATAATTTCTCCAAAGAAACCACAAATGCCATTACATACATGAAATAATGACCAAAATCAGTACTAATCAGGGAAATAAAAATCAAAAGCACAACGCACCACTTTCCGACCACTAGGATGGCGTTATTAAAGAATAAAATAAAGTAAAAAGGAGCAGCATTTGCCGTCACGCCCGGTGACGTCGCCTACCGGCTGCACAGGTGCCACGCTCACATGTACTCGCTGTGCCCGTGGGAAAATAAGAAGTGTGGAAAGGAGAATCCCTGGAAGCCCTCAGACAGACCAGCCTGGTCCTCGCAGCAGTGAGCAAGCCAGTCTCCATGTCAAACACGGTGAGAAGCACTGTCTGAAGATGTCCTGTGACTTCAACCTGCATGCCGTGATGCACACGCACGCTCACAGAACACACACACACACACGTTAAAAATCATAATTATATGGCTAAGATGTAGCTCAGAGATATATCACTTGCCTCGAATACACAAGATCTCTAGCCCCACACAAAAGTAAATGTCAGCCGGGCAGTGGTAGTACATGCCTTTAATCCCAGCAGAGACAGGGGGATCTCTGAGTTCGAGGCCAAACTGGTCTACAGTGAGTTCTAGGACAGCCAAGGCTACATAGAGAAACCCTGTCTCAAAACAAAACAAAAAATAGCCAGGCATGGTGGCGCATGTCTGCAGTCCCAGCACTTGGGGAGGCAGAGGCAGAGGCAGGCAGATCACTACAAGTTAGAGGCCAGCCTGGTCTACACAGCGAGTGTTGGACAGCCAAGGTTACACAGAGAAACCTTGTCTCAAAAAACCAAGATAAAAAAATAAATGATAAAAAAATAAACGTTTAAAAGAACATAGAGAACCTCTATCTATTGCTGACAGGGATATTATAATGTTTTCATCCACTATATAAAAGTTTGGCAGCTCCTCAAAAACAAAACTAAACTAAACCAGTCATCACATGACCATGCAAAGCCCTTGAGTCTAGAAATGAAAACGCATGTTTAAAGAGGTGTCAGTGTAGCATTATTCACAATAGTTAAAGAAAACCCAATGCCCATCAAAGATGGACGGATGTTTACAACCTGTTTCATATACACAATGAAACAGCAGTCAAAAAAGAAAGAAAGCTTTGTCGGATGTTGTAATACTGATACATGTGCTTTGGAAACATGCTCAATGTAAAAATCACCAGTATCAAGAATAAATAATATATTTTTCCACTCATATGTACCCAGAATAATCAAATTCATAGCAACAAAGAGTAGATAAGAGGTCACCAAGGTTTGGGGGGAAGTGGAATGAGGACTTACTACATGGTGAAAGAATTTGTTTGATGAGATAAAAATTTTTAGGAAATAGCAGTAATGGTTGCACACACTGTGAAGTAATCAAAGCCAGTGAATTGTATACTTATAAATAATTAAAATGGAAAGCCTTGTATTAAAGATAAATAAATGAAAGTAAACTTAAAAACACAGAAGAAGAAAAAAGCAAATTACTGCCAAAATAATAAAGAAAAAGAAGACATCACACAAGTACCTTTCTATGCATTGTGTTCGAGATAGAGGAGGCTGGCATCTTTGGTTATGAGCCTCTCGGGCCGCAAGTCTCGCTTCTGACAACTGAAAGACAGAACAAATATTCATTTCTTTACTTATCATCAGGAGGGCAGAACACACCACTAACACCACCCGAATCTGGAGCTTCCCAGTCTCCAGAACTCTTGAGAAATAAATGATTGTTATTTTTGTGATATTCTTGTTAGAAAAGTAGAAGTTGCCAGGGATAATGGAGCATGCCTTTTATACCAGCAATTGGGAGGCAGGGACAGGTAGATCTCTGTGAGTTCTAGGCCAACCTGGTCTGCATAGTGACACAGCCAGAGACACAGTAAGAAACTGAAAACTAACCAAAATAAATCAAAAAGAACCAATCAATCAATCAATCAATCAATCAATAAAATTGAAGTTAAAACACATAAATTGACTACGCAATACAAACACATCACAACTTACAGGGAACTAATTTTCTTTTGAACAGTAACAAGTCTATATCGAAGGTCAGAGTTCAGTATTGACTCCAATCCCCCAAATTAAAAAAAAAAAAAAAAAAATTCAAAGCATGGGATTTCCATCCCCCTTAAGATATTTATCTTAGGGCTGAAGAGATGGCTCAGCAGCTGAGATCATATACCACCCTAAAACTCAACTCTATTTGGAACACCCACATCAAGAGTCTCACAGTCTCAAGACCTCTTCTGACATCCACAGGCACTAGTACATACACACAATTAAAAATACATCTTAAAACTGGGCGGCAGTGAGGAACGCCTTTAACCCCAGCACTTTGAGGCAGAGGCAGACATATCTGTTTGAGGCTAGCCTGGTTTTCAGATCGAGTTCTAGGACAGCCAAGGCTATACAGAGAAACCCTATCTTGAAAAACAAACAACAACAACAAAAAAAACAAAAAACAAAAAACACCCAGGCATGGTGGGCACCTGTAATCCCAACACTTGGAGAAGTAAAGGCAGCTGGATCTCTGGGAGTTCGAGGGCAGCCTGGTCTACAAAGTAAGTCTAGGACAGCCAAGGCTACAGAGAGCAACCCTGTCTGGAAAAAAGAAAACATTTAAAAATACCAATGTATTAAAACAAATAACATTTATATAATGTTTAAATTGCATGTTTATTGCTTCATTCTCAATAGAACCAGCCAAAATGTTACTGTACCTTTTCATCTTCCCATTGAAAAAAATTACAGTCTTTTCTATCTCTACAGGCTGAGCAGGCATAAAACTTCCGAGTTTCTTCCTTCCCTTGGCTCACTTTTACAAAGAGAAGAGTGGGCCCTAGTTCCAGAATCGGAAGAAAAAAATAGGTGGTCATTTCTTTCTCTGCCTTAAGTAAAACTTGTTTGGGCCTTTTGCATAATTTATAATTCAATGCACTATTCTCTTTGATAGACTTTACTTTCTTCACTTGCAACACTGATGCATTAGAATATTATAAATGATTTTAAAAACTGCTCTCTCCAGAAAGAAATATGTTTGCTGTCTGTTATAAAAGTCACCAGCTTGGGTCCATAATACAAATAAGCTTAAAGGAACAGACTTGGATAAACCAAAGGGAAAAATCCAGAGAATTGCAACTGCAAAGTTTGCTATTACCAGCGGGGGTGTCTTTCAGTAAAAATCTGGACTGTACAGTTGCACAATACGTCTTTCTCCAAGACGAAATTTTAATTAGACCTCCAGGATTTTCTTTTGCTCATTTTAACTTAAAAACAAATAAAAACACAAACCCCAGCAAATCAACAAATTCAATTCTCGTAAGAACTTGTTAACAGGTATCCTTCAGTCCCGTGCATTCTCCGTTCTGCTTACTCCCTACCCGAAAGTAGAGACGTTAACAGCTCTAGAGCCAAAGCTGTAACAGTCAGGACTTCTCTAAGGGTTTCTTAACTACAGCGAAAAGCACTTTCTGAAAACGGATGGCGTTCAAGCATCACACAAGGTGAGGAAGAGGGGCAGAGAAAAGCCTTCTCTTCTAGAGACAGGTCCTAAAAGCCCATAGAACACCAAGCCCAAGCCTCGCCATCGGCGCCACCCTACTAGGCTGGGCCGACCCACCATGTGGGCACAGCGGGGCGGGAGCCGCGGGGTCCGAGGGAAGCGCCACCTCCACCCCGGACGCCCTGCGCCCCGCGCAGCCTTCATCCTCTATTGACTCAAGACAGTCCATGGGCGCCGCCATCTTTCCGCCAAGGTCCCGAAAGCCTCAGTCCCAACCAAGGAGGCAGAGAAAGAGCGTCGCCGTGGCGCGCGGAAGCCACAGCGCCGCAAGTGTCCTGGAGGAGCCACGCCATTGGACCAGAGTGAGACTGAGCAGAGACCCTGGGATGAGGCTGTTAGCCCTTTGCCAAGAGCTCAGCTATAGCCAGGAGAAGAGATGAATCTTGAGAACAAAGATCTGATTCGATTATAGATCCAAAAGAGCAACAAAGAGCTAAAACGATTGCTGAACTAGCTAACCGCTCAGCAGCTCCACTGGGTTTTACATAGCTACAGTATTGTCTAGACCCTTGTTTTGTTTTGTTTTGTTTTGTTTTGTTTTGTTTTGACAGGGTCTCTCGAACCCCAAGCTGGCCTCCAACTTCCCAGATGCAGAGTATGACCTTGAACTCCGGATCTTCTGCCTCTACCTCCCAAATGCTGTGATTTGGAACTCATCTAACATTTACTGTTATACATGATTATTAAATTCCCATTGTTATTCGTACATCAGTAAAAGACTGTCCTCATTTGCTAGTGACAACTGTCTATGTAGAAAATACCAAAGAATGTGCAGTTTTTATAACTTCTAGTTTAACTTGGGTTTGGCAAAGTTGAAGGATATGAGAGTAATATACAAAATAATCGGTCATATTTCTGTACACTATCAATGGCCATCTAAACATTAAATTTAGAATACTACTTAGAATTCCCAAATAAAAGAAGCATGTATAAGTCGAACGTGCACAGGTCTCATGAGCGGAAAACTAGAAAATGTTGGCTGAAAAAAATCAAGACATATCTAACCAAATGTGGAAGTACAGCCTGTTCATTATGTGGGAAATGAGACACAGTAAAGATGCCAGCTCCTCCCAGGTTCCGTGCAGACAGATTTAGTGCAATTTTAGCAAAACCTCTACCAGATACACAAAGTATAATTCTGGATTTTATAGGGAAAGGCAAAGAAATGGCTACAATAATTTTGAAAGAAAGAAACAGAGGGGGGGAAATCAGTCTGCTAAGCAGGGTGGTAGTAGTAATCAAGGCTCATATGTACACACATCTGATTGTCAGTTAAATTGCCAAGTGCACACACACACACACACACACACACACACGTTGATATGAATAAAGTACATGAGGAGCATTGCATAATTATGACAATAAAGCAGACTTTAAAAGTAGTGCAATTTTCTCTTTTCTGAAGGAAGACTTTAGTGAGTGATGAAAAAAACAAACAAACCATGCCTTACATTCAGGTACCCAGTTGCTCACCCGTTCACAATGGGCATGGACTCTAGAAACTGTGGCACTAGGGGATTTTTGTCACATAAACATTAGAGCAGATTCAACACAACTAGGAAGGCTACACCATCCTAAAGGTCCTAATTTCCTGGGAACACTGTTGAGTACATATCCCCTCAGTGACTGGAATGTTGTTATGAGGTGTTAGCTATGGTTAGTAGACTATTTGCTGAGAGGGTTACAATAATCATCAGTAAGTTATGAGTGCTTTTATTAATAATAAAAGTGTCTTTAGTTCATACTGGAAAATCCTGAAAGTCTTGGGAGAATTCTGATGGAAACTGAAAATAGACTTGAGCACTGGGATGGACTCTGGCCACATGTCCCATCACTCAGAGCTTGATCCTAAGTCTAAGACCCAGTGAATTCAGAAACTCTCCTCACAGAGACTCTGGACAAAGCAGTGAACTTCTACAAGCACCAGGAAGTCTATCCCATTGTCCTTCGAGAACTCTAATCCCCAAATCTGCTTCAAAGAATATGAATGAAGCCAAATCATTTTGTAGAGGGTGTCTAACCATTGCCGCTATCTCCTCGTAGTCTCCTAAAGCCTGCTGAAGAAGTTTGGTCTTGTCACTCAACCAACAGCACTGCAGTCAGCATGGTGGAGGTATAGCCACTGCGGTGGCATCCTTGTCAAGACCCAAACCTTGCCCTGCATCCTCTGCCTCAGGTAGCTCTGCCTGTCACCTTCCCCCAAATCTTCCAGGTTCCTGATAGAATGTGGTCTCAACAGCCTTTGCTTTACTATTTCAGTATCAGATGCCCTGCTGAGCTGGTCAGGAATCGCCTAGATGTCTTCTCTCTGCTTTCCTTCCCCAGCCCTGACAATCCCCAACCATGGTGACTAGGCTGGAAAGGCATGGGACCCACAGGAACTATGGGAGACTTCTTGGATCTCTGAAAAATAGTGGAATGCTGCAGAACTATACACTCTGGAACTGACACCCCCTTGAGAGCTATTGAGACTCACTGAGCAGTTTTGTTCGTTTGTTTTTTGTTGTTTTTGTTTTTAGAGACAAGACCTCCCTGTGTATCACTGGCCTGCTTGGATTTCACTGCTGTCCTTGTGGCCATCTTCTTGCTTCATTTCCAAAGCACTGAGATTACAGGCATGTGCCATCACATCTGGCCTTCACATTAGCATGTATGATGTGCTAGGCAAAAGTCCCATAGAGTGGGTCTGTAGAAAGCTAGAACAACCCTGAACGAGAGGATATGGTTCAGCGGCAGAGTGATTGCCTGGTGTGCAGGAGACCCTGGCTCCCACAGAGCAAAATAAATAAAAATAAATAATAATAATAATAAAAAAACTGCAGAAACGGAAGTTTCCAAGAGACCTTTCATCAAATCTGGAAGAGTAGCCCAGTCCCTTCTTCCTGCCTTCTTCCTGGCAAGAAGGGTGGGAGGACACAGGACTCACGTATGAGTGACTGTTTGCTGTAGACATACATGTAAGATGGAAATTTTGAGATAAAGAAATCTACAAAGGAGAGCTGTGAAAATGGTGGGCTGCAGGTGCTCTTCAAGATTCCTGTCCACCTGGAACTCACATTACCTTCCTGTCAGTCTTTTCAGAAACATCAGGTTGTTCATCAAGCCAACAATACAGTGGCAGATTAGAGTGACCCTAAACCCAATGATTCGAAGGGTATCTGACAATGGCTCCCACAGACCCATATATTTGCATGCTTGGTCCTCAGCCAGTGGAACTGTTCAGGATGGAGTAGGAGGTGTGGCCTTGGAGATGTGTGACTGGGGATGGGCTTTGTGGTTTGAGAACCCCGTGCCAAAGCTGGGCATAGTGGTGTGCACCTTTACTCAGAGCACTCAGGAGGCAGAGGCGGGCGGATCGATCTGAGTTTGAGGCCAGCCTGGTCTTCATGGTGAGTTCAAGAGACAGTGAGTTCCAGGTAGAGGTACCCTGTTTCAAAAAAACAAAAAACAACAACAACAACAAAAAAAACAAACCATCTCATTCCCAGTGTCTCTCTCAGGCTTGCGGATCAGGTGTAACTCTGTAGTCCCGCCTCACACAATACCTGCTTGCCTGCTGCCATGATCCCTGCCATGACACTCATGGATCCTACTACCCTCTGGAGCTGTGAGCCTCAGATGCTTTCTTTTATAAGTTGTCTTGGTCATTGTGCTTTGTTACACAAATAGAAAAGAACCTAAGACAGCACCCTTAGGAGAGGACATTGGAGGGCAACATGAGACTATAGTGACCAAGGCCACAGGGAGACAAAGGTAGGTCAAGCTTGGAGTCCTCTATCTTGAGTCACGGAAATGACAGGGGACAGGAGGGACAGATAATACTTTTGTATTGTATATTATAGAGATACACCGTACTCGGTATTGTAAAATTGAATCAGTAAAGCATGGTTTTTATCACTAGCATAACATGCACACAGTTAATGCTTTGTTCTAAGTTAAGTAAGCCCTCTCAGCTCAGACAGCCCCTGAGGAATTCATGGTTGATATTAGCAGAAACTAACGAGACTCTGTTTCAAAGTGTCTGAGCCCAGACACCCCCAGAATGAGGATAATAGTGAATCTTGAGCTTTTATTAAAAGTAGTTGTCTTTTCATTTGTTTATTTATTTATATTTGAAATTAGGTGTTTAGAGGCAGATCAGCTGGTAGAAAGCTTACCTCGAATGCTAGGCAGTATAAGCCTATAATCCAAGCAGTTGGGAGGAAGAGGCAGGAGAATCGAGAGTTCAAGGTCATCCTCTGCTACACATTGAATTCAAAGCCATCCCAGGCTGAGACCTTGCTTACAAGGAGGAAGAGAAAGGAGAAAAAAGAAATGTGTTGTTTCAAATTTACCATTCCACCCACAACTATGGATTCCATTTCAAAGGAGTCAAGGAGATTTGGGAAGCAGTGTTTTATGAAGAGGTTCCCCAGGATTAGGAACCTCAGAGCCAATCCAGTGTGAAGTTAGGCAGCAGAAAACAGTGGGGCTGAGTCAGAGGAACTTCAATCTATATCCTGCTCTCTCACATATAAATTAAATTTCAGGCAATTATTCTAACTGCCCTGAGCTTTTCTGGGTGCATATGGGGAAAATAGCACATCGATCTTCTGAGAAAAGTAAGAATCAGATGACATCACCTGTGTGACACGCAAGATCCCAGCTAGAACCAGAAGACAATCAAGTGAGGTATTGAGGGATGTTTCATCAAAGGGCTGTTTTCTAAATTTTGTAGTAAGCTAAACCACCAAGGAGCCTGATTGATCTTGGGACTGGTGACAGTGAGTGCTGTACCCTTTCTGTTCTACAGATATTTACCCCACCAGACAGGAATAAGACCACTACCACATTTTTTTCAGCCAGATGTTTTAAGAATCTATTAATATTTACTATTAGTATATCTTCTGGTAATCTGCTGTTAGTCCTAAACAGCTGTATAACCAAATCACCACAAAGAGACTGGAATTTATTTAGTTAACCTAGAACACAATGCTGGGCAATAGTTACTCCCTCCTAAACCTCCAAGCCCTCATAGTTTCCTAACATTTAGATTTCCCACATTATACTTGCTTTTAGTGATATATTAGGTCCAGTCCATCTCTCCATGCTGTGTCAAGATCTCTCCTCCAGCTCCCTCTCCAAGCTCTCCTCTAGCCCCTTCTCCTCCCATTCATTTCCTGCCTTCTGGCTCCTCCCCTC